CCTCTCTCATAATTTAGCTCTTCTGTACCTGATGATGGCTGCTTGTGTTGCAACCGAAACGTCGTACGCTATTTTGTTATTTTATTATTTCTTATTTATACGTGACTTTACCGAAAAAACCAAAGAGTAATCCCTGCAGTCACGAAAGCTTCAAATCAAGTCAATTTCTACTTGTTATACGCACACCATTTGCTCACTCTCGAAGAGATAATGACTCAAGAGAAGCGAACAACCACAGACAAGGAAGGCAGCCAAACAATGGGCCATTCCCAAAAAATTACCAAACTCTGCAGTCATCTACATATTAAGGTGTTATCAACCAATCAATCAGCGTTTTCACGTTGCAGGAAATTGGAGCACCCGGAGAAAATCCACGCACTGAAAGGGGGCAACGCTATCCCATTCAGATGAAATCTAAATTTTTATGTACTGCCTTATCCTCGACGCCCACGGGAAGACAGCTTCACGCGTGTGACCCACCAACCCTCGCCTCCACAGTGCTGAATTTCAGACGTGCGCCACCAAATCACCCGGAATGTGGATGAGATCATAAGCTAAGCAGAGTTGAATCTGAAGAGCTCTTTGGCTGCAGTCATATGATCTTCATTCAGCAGTAGATTGATCGTGGATGATAATTATGAGCGATTGGATGGGCGACCACCATCCACAACAAGGTTGTTGTATTGTCTGCTGCAGGGCAACGTGGTAGGCAGCAAAGAAGTTGTACTGTACTTTGCTCCCAAATCTATTCTCCCCACATTCAACAACCCAGACTGCCTAGGTTGAGAAGTTTGGTCAAACAATCCCCACTCAAACATTTGATATCCTCTGCCCTTCTGCCTGTTATTGATTATGCTGACATTGTTTACATAGCTGCTTTAAACTCAACGTTGCATTCATGACATTCTACTTCATTCTGCCTTACACAATTACTCAGCCAGTCATTGTGGTCTCCAGGTCTGCCTTTCGGCTTCTCTGAAGAGAAATAATTGGGCTAAAATTGTTAACACATATACAAATAACCACACAGCTGTGTTGCTTATTTCCCGATCCAAATCCTCACAACCTAAGTGCCTACCCCTCCTTTCACTGAATCGTGCCCAGTGTGAATAATGAGTTTCATCTGCCATCATTCTCAACTGATGCACACCCAACTCTGGAATCACTTGGCTTCTCAATGGCATTTAAATTCAGCCCTGAGCAAAGCTGAGTTTGGGAGAAAAAATATCAAATAGGTTCGACGAAAACCTTTGTAAATGTTTCTTGATAAGACGGGTGTTTGTTTTAACGTTTTCGCCTGTTTGAAGCCAATTCATACATTGTGACGTTTTCCATTGCCTCCATTTGCCTAATCCATTCACTTTCGTTTTCAGAGTATACATTGTATTATTTCTTGTTCAAGTTTCCCTCACTTTGGGTTCGATTTGTGTGATTTTGCGCATATGCGGCTAACCTATATCGACCAAAAATTCACTGTAAGCGGCTTGAATTTCACCCATAACCGGCGATGTGGTCGGCCGTACAACAAGTGTGTGTGTGTACTGTGCGCGCTACTCGGCAGGCAGCTGTCTCGCGCGGTGCATTGTGGTTTGCGTGACTGCGGTCTATGCTATGTGATTTCGCTTTTGTGCGCCCATTTTTGGAACACATCTAAGCAAGGGAAACCTGTAAATCTAACCCTTTAAAGTACAATTAACCTATTTTACTTAGCATTATTCAATCGTTTGAATTATATTGATGTTAAATTAAGTCTAGATTTGTTACGTTTTATGTTTGGAAATATTCTATGTACTTAATGACTTCATGTAACCCTTACAAAAAGGACAATGTTTCATGTCTTCTAGCAGATTTATTTCACCTCTTGGCTAAATAAAAATACTGAATGACCTCCATCACTTGGGGAGGGCTGAAATGTATACAACTAAACAATACATGTGTTTTAAGTGTATTAGACAAACACATGCACTGTAGAGAATGAGTGCAAAAGCAATTCAAACATTCGTGTGTGCAGTATGTGCGCGTTTGAGTAGATAAAAAAAGTACTTACGGTGCTGTGTGCTGTAAAGTAGTTGTGTACATCTGTCCCTCATCTCCCCTCCTCGTCATCCTCCACTACCCCCTCCCCCACCATTAACGTATTGCCACAAGTGAACGCAGCTTATGATACACAGTTTACCATGTTGTAGTTAGTTTTCATATATTTCGTAAATGTTAAGTAAATAATCATATAAATAAATTTCTTTCATTTAATATTCGTTACTGATGTATGTTTATGCCGGCATATATGCTCTAGCTTAATACAAATTCTGGCTAAAAGGGGATAGCCAATTCGAATTTTACTGGACCGTATTGTTTTTTAAGTTCTGAAACCTTAGATACGTTTGACTTAAATGCACTAGAAAAAACATTAACATGTATTTTGACCCCAACAAACACACGATTGTGAACAATGTAAATTGACGTTAATTAGCACGGTTGTCTACGTATGGTGCGAAAGAAGTTCAACATACAGATATAATGCCCATTTATAGCATGTCCTCAAATTACCGGGCTAATTCTTGGGGTGGAATAATCCGGTATGTTCATTTTCAGAGCAAAACCCTCATCAATTTACCATGAACACCAAATATATTCCATTACAATCTTAGAAAATGGTACAAAAGGTGCAGCCCCGCAATTGTTTGCTTACACCACTGACGGCAGAAGGACCTCACCGAGACATAGCCCTAGAGAGCCCGCTCTGGAGCTACTCTTCCGCGCTTGCCGAACGTCTCTCGGAAGAGGTGCAAGTACCGAAATTTTACATCATCATACAAAACCTGCCCATCGACTAACTGTGGTGAACTCATTGATACACTGCTGAGCAGACAGACGTGAGCAGGAGATATACGATACCTGTGCCATTGTTTCAACTGCCATACCAGAAGAAAGAACGGGTTATCCTTGGATAGCAAGTCCAGTGTGCTAACCATTACATCATTTGCAGCTTTGGAATGGATGATGCTATTTCAATTGAAAACCGTTATTTATTAATTTAAGGGGCACCACCGTGGTGAGATGTTATCTTCCTCGCCTGGTATGCAGGAGGTCGGGGGTTCGATCCCGACCCTGACACCTGTATATTTGGAGTTTGCATGTTCTCCCCGTGGTCGCGTAGATTTTTTCTCTGGGTCCTCTGGTTTTTCCCTCCACATTCAGAAACATGCGTTTAGACTATTTAGATTATTTTGCTGCTATAAATGACCAAAAGATAAGCCACTCTGTTGAGCTATAATTTGTGGCCAGATCGATTTTTGAAAAAGAAGTTAATACCTCAGTCGATTTTGTCTCATAGAATGGGGATGTTCTTAGTTTTTTTCGGTAAAGTCACGTTGAAGAGAAACAACAAAATAACAAAATATATATAAAACAATAAAAAATTCTCACGACGTTTCGACCATAACTCAAACGGTCATCATCAGGTGTGTCGGTTTGCATAAATTTATTTTGAAAACGGCATATTTATTTATTTATATATATAAAAAAAATAACGTTTGCGTCACGCGCAACGATTGGCTGTTTGCCAGGACTAGTCCATCTATTTTTTGAAAAGAGGAGGGGGGAGAATGGGGATGGTTTAGTTTTATTTGTATGTGTTTGGTTGATTTGTTTACATTTCTTGTTGTTTGCACTATCATGTCTTTGTATTGTTTGTTGTTGTAACGTTGATAATTGTTTTTTAACCCTTTTATCTGGCAACAAAACTGACACCTTTTTTACAAGGAGCCATGTTTACATTGACCACAATACCTGCGGTTGTTTTTTGTTTGCGTTCCGACGTAGGTATTGTGGTCAATGTAAACATGACTCCTTGTAAAAAAGGTGTCAGTTTTGTTTGCCAGATAAAAGGGTAAAAAAAACAATTATCATATTTTGTTACTGGCAAATGAGGTTTCCAATGGTGTAAATGCTTACCCCGAGCTCTCATACTCTGATGGTGCATTGCCTTTGAGTTGTGCGCCTTTTGGCGTCTTCTGGTCCAACACCATGTGAGACGAGGCTCTAAAGCTGTCTTGGGTGTGGACCAATCAATTTCAAGGACAGTGCATACATTATCAGAGTTGTTTTTTGTTTGCGTTCCGACTGCAAGTATTGTGGTCAATGTAAACATGACTCCTTGTAAAAAAAAGGTGTCAGTTTTGTTGCCAGATAAAAGGGTAAAAAAACAATTATCATATTTTGTTACTGGCAAATGAGGTTTCCAATGGTGCTGTAACGTTCTTACCCGTCCCACCTGGACATCTGTGAAAAAGAGCTTAGCAGCTCATCGGATTCCTCCAGTATAAATAACTATTCTGATTTTTATTGTAATGTTATTTTGATATATTTCTGTATCATCGTAAACACTTAAAACACCAAGGAGATTCTGGAACAGACAATCCAGTATTACCGGAATTTACTTGCCGATGCTCCGATGGAAGTGGTGCACTAGCACAATTCTTAAAACAAAAAAACCTCACATCCATCACTAATACAGACCTGAAAATTAAGAATATATAAAATCGGCGATGCCTCGGGCAATGGGCCTTTTTCACAGCAAATATTATAGTACAGGTTTTCCTCTCTTCTTACGAGTTCAGTTTGTGTGATTTTGCGTCTATGCGGCTAACCTATTTGTCCCCAAAATTCGCTGTAAGCAGCCTGAATTTCACTTCGGATCTAGCTATTCTGTCAGATGTGCGACAACACTGTGTGTACTGTGTGTGCTACTCGGCAGGCAGCATCGCCTCGCGCAGTTTTAGATTTGTGTGCCTATTTTTTGGAACACATCTACTACCGCCGCCTACCACTGCCACCGCATAGAGCGAGAAAAACATTAGGTTACTGTTCATTACAGGAATGTAACTGGAACTTCATGTGTTATATACCCGCTGACCTCATGTCAAGGACACTGTGCAAAATACAAAACCAACAACCTCTAATATATCAGTTGGCAGCATAAACAATACGTTAATGCTTACCTCTACTAGAAGCTTTTTGTTCTGTACAAGCCAAACGTCGGTATATTTAAAATATCTCATGGAGTCCGGGTAAAGATAGGCCTTTTGGATGACAGGCAAAATCTCACGGTTGAATTCCCTGGAGGTGGTAGACACCGGACGTAACAACCCTGAAAGGCAAACAAGCAGAAAATTAAAACAGAATTAAACCAAGTCACAGAATCGATAACCAAATCCAATGCCTAAAAAGACTAATACCCTTTGGCAGACCAGGCACCCAGTCAGCTTGTGCCCACAGGGACAGATGCCAATGTGGGTCCACATTTCAAAATGTTGGAGATGAGATGTAAGTTTCTAAGCATGTCTAAAGTGTTCAGAGATGTCATGGCGTAAAGGGAGCACTAGCAAAAACAAATATTTTTTTCATTAGTAAAGCAAATTTGTAATCAATATAACATGTGACACACGAGCGAATGTTCAAACTGCATGGCGCTCATTAATCACCGCGAGGGGCATTTCAAAAGATGTAGAGGCGCACACAAATACATGGCTGGAATGTTATTATATTAGTAAGAGATACAGTGAGGGAAAAAAGTATTTGATCCCCTGCTGATTTTGTACGTTTGCCCAATGACAAAGAAATGATTAGTCCATGATTTTAATGGTACGTTTATTTGAACAGTGAGAGACAGAATACCAACAAAAAAATCCAGAAAAACGCATGTCAAAAATGTTTTAAACTGATTTGCATTTTAATGAGGGATATAAGTATTTGACCCCTCTGCAAAACATGACTAAGTACTTGGTGGCAAAACCCTTGTTGGCAATTACAGAGGTCAGACGTTTCTTGTAGTTGGCCACCAGGTTTGCACACATCTCAGGAGAGATTTTATCCCACTCCTCTTTGCAGATCTTCTCCAAGTCATTAAGGTTTCGAGGCTGACGTTTGGCAACTCGAACCTTCAGCTCCCTCCACAAATTTTCTATGGGATTAAGGTCTGGAGACTGGCTAGGCCACTCCAGGACCTTAATGTGCTTCTACTTGAGCCACTCCTTTGTTGCCTTGGCCGTGTGTTTTGGGTCATCGTCATGCTGGAATACCCATCCACGACCCATTTTCAATGCCCTGGCTGAGGGAAGGAGGTTCACACCCAAGAATTGATGGTACATGGCCCCATCCATCGTCCCTTTGATGCGGTGAAATTGTCCTGTCCCCTTAGCAGAAAAACACCCCCAAAGCATAATGTTTCCACCTCCATGTTTGACGGTGGGGATGGTGTTCTTGGGGTCATAGGCAGCATTCCTCCTCCTCCAAACACGGCGACTTGAGTTGGTGCCAAAGAGCTCCATTTTGGTCTCATCTGACCACAACACTTTCACCCAGTTGTCCTCTGAATCATTCAGATGTTCATTGGCAAACTTCAAAAGGGCATGTACATGTGCTTTCTTAAGCAGGGGGACCTTGCTGCCTTGAGATCATTGAAAAAATCCTCCCGTGTAGTTCTGGGCTGATTCCTCACCATTCTCATGATCAATGCAACTCCACGAGGTGAGATCTTGCATGGAGCCCCAGGCCGAGGGAGATTGACAGTTCTTTTGTGTTTCTTCCATTTGCGAATAATCGCACCAACTGTTGTCACTTTCTCACCAAGCTGCTTGGCAATGGTCTTGTAGCCCATTCCAGCCTTGTGTAGGTCTACAATCTTGTCCCTGACATCCTTGGAGAGCTCTTTGGTCTTGGCCATGGTGGAGAGTTCTTTGGTCTTGGCCATGGTGGAGAGTTTGGAATCTGATTGATTGCTTCTGTGGACAGGTGTCTTTTATACAGATAACAAGCTGAGATTAGGGGCACTCCCTTTAAGAGTGTGCTCCTAATCTCAGCTCGTTACCTGTATAAAAGACACCTGGGAGCCAGAAATCTTTCTTATTGAGAGGGGGTCAAATACTTATTTCCCTCATTAAAATGCAAATCAATTTATAACATTTTGGACATGCGTTTTTCTGGATTTTGTTGTTGTTATTCTGTCTCTCACTGTTCAAATAAACCTACCATTAAAATTATGGACTGATCATCTTTGTCAGTGGGCAAACGTACAAAATCAGTAGGGGATCAAATACTTTTTTCCCTCACTGTAGATCACCGTCATCATCAGTAGTAACCATAATCAATTCGCTGCCCGATGAAGGCCTTCCCCAAGCCATCGCCATCTCTCGTCTCATGATGAAACAATCCATCCAGCTCTCTACAAGCGGGTTTATAAAACACTAGTGGGAAGTACACGGAGTTGCTTGGAGGAAATATTCAAAACTTCTCTTAAAAACATAACATATACTTAAGTAATAAACGACTTCCACACCGATTGTTGCAAGGGTGCTTATTTATTAACTGTAGTACTGCACAGCTTCTCTCCTTCCCTCTCCGGGTAATTTCCCTTCTCACAACGCCATGGACGAAGCGTCTCTCTCTGGTCCACCAGCGAGGTTCGCTCCACTACCCCGGTCTTGCCGTTGGCTGGCGGCGTGCCGGAGAGAAGAGGCGAGCTTCACTGGGGAACCCGCCACGTGGTCGGTGGCGAAGAGAGGACATGACGAGCAGCGACGCAGTCCGGACCCCAGGCTCCCCACACCGACCACGAGTCCTCCCCTGCCCCTGCTTATATTTCCCCCAGCGGAGCTAGGCTCTGCCTCTAGCCATGCCCCCTCGTGGAACTATTGTCTAGTAGCGCAATATCGAGTGAAGATGACAGCGACGATGGCGACGAGACGACAGCGACAATGGCGACAATATTCAACAGCACGACGGTGATCACACTCCAAAAGACAGACCCGAGCTCTCGCTCAGGGCCCCCTTTTATACTCCCAGCGTGGCCTTGCTCCGCCCCGGCTACGCCCCATCTCTAGAAGCTACCAGCGGGTTCCCTGGGGATTCCTGTGCCCCTTCTGTAACCTTTCTCCCAGATATTCCCTGTGGTTTATCACCTGGCCTGCTGACGTTAAGGCTGCCGTAAGCCGCAGATCCCCTTCCCCGCCAGCAGCCAGCACCATGCTGTTACATTACGTATTCTATGTCACTATAGTAGTATCTAATAACTCTATAATAGTATATACTGACTATAGTATCTACTAACTCTAAAGCACTTTCTACCGACTTGATAGCAGTATATGGCATCTGGCAGAGGGGAGTTAAATATTGCCATGGTGTGGTGGCATCTAAGGCATGGGCTATGATGACATCCTGATCATTACCAATTTCTCCCCAACTTCAACCGCTGATGTCACACCGATTATGTGCACATGCAGCTATTTGTCTAACCACAGTTGGATGAGGGCCACTCTGCACCATGTGGATCATGGGGGGGGGTTATCCGACCATACTTCACCATGTTGGTAAGTGCAGGTTGGTGAAGGTAGGGAACATTGACCCATGAAGCAGAGTACAATATCAGAACTTGGAATGTCTGGGAAGCTAAAGAGCCGAGTCTAATGCATGCATCAAAGGTGGCAGAGTAGTGTTAAGTTCTGGGCAGTCCAGAGTAATTTACTCGATTTCTCCCTTGTCCGTGCTTCTTGCCTTCACCAACCCGGACATTTTTTGCCCAACAGAAACATTTCTCAATCCTGCCTTCAATGACTCGCAGATTACGACTGACTACAACCTTTTTCGGCTTGCCCGATGATCTAAAGGAGGTGGAATTGCCATCTATGTTCGTAACACTATTGCATGTTCACCAGCTCACGCCTTGTTTAAAAAAATGTTGCTTTGAAGGTTTGGCTCTCAGAATAACTCTCCCAAATAATCAACAGATATTGGCAGTGTGCTGCTATTGACCACCCAGTGGGAAGAATGTTGAAGCTGCATCTGCACTGAGAGAGCTTTTGGGGGCCTCCCTAAAGGTGAAATAGTTTTAGTGGGTGATCTAAATTGGAATTGACTAAACCCGCCGGCCGTGGCCACAAATTTTGCAGATGAATTTAACCTGTTTCAATTAATAAATGTTCCCACAAGACCCAACCTAAAAAATCCGGAACAGTCATCTCTGCTTGACGTCCTATTGACAAATGCCCCTCACAATTTCGCAATGACTGGTGTTCTGGGTAATAACCTTAGTGATCACTCCTTCATTTTTGGGGTGAGATCATCAGCCAGACCCAAAGCCCCCCTTAAATTGGTTGAGAAGCACTCTATGAGATACTTCAGCACTCAGGCATTTACTAATGATGTGCTTCACTCAGGCATTTACTAATGATGTGCTTCACTCAGGCATTTACTAATGATGTGCTTCACTCAGATATTGACAAGGTCTGTGATATCCCTAACCTGACTACGGCTTGGGAGACCTTCATTCCTGATTTACAGTACCCCGGGGTTTACAAATTGAGCTGCACTTGTGGTGATTGCTATATCGGGGAGAGGAAACGACATGTCTCTGACCAAATTCGCGAGCACAAATCAGATTTGAAACATGGCAGAACGAATTCTTCTGCCGTAGCTGATCATTGTTTCAACACTGTGGGTGATCACGATATAATTTTCTCCGATACCAAGGTCCTTTGCAAACCGATAGGTTATCATCAGAGATTTGTCCACGAGGCAATTCAGATTTACAAACATAGACACAATTTCAACCGAGAAGATGGTTTCAAATTAAGCAACCATTGGAAAGATGTTCTAAATAGAACCAAACATTAAACTAATTTCAATGGTACAGTATATTTATTTCAAACAGTGGCATTCCAAACTTCCAAGGTCGTGATTTTTGTTGTTTTATATTTTACCTACGTGACTTTACCTAATAGAACCAATGAGTATGGATCCTTGTAGGCACGAAAGCTTCAAATCTAAATTTCAATGGTACAGTATATTTATTCTAGTAGTGGTATTCCAAACTCCCAGGGTGGTGTATTATCATCTTGTGCTAATTCCAAGCTTTGTCAGTGGTGCGTTTCATGCTAATTTCCTTTGTCAGGGCGTTTGCTGTTTGCCCACTCACAGCTTAACGTGACTTTACCTAATAGAACCAAAGAGTATGGATCCTTGCAGGCACGAAAGCTTCAAATCTAAATTTCAATGGTACAGTATATTTATTCTAGTAGTGGTATTCCAAACTCCCAGGGTGGTGTATTATCATCTTGTGCTAATTCCAAGCTTTGTCAGTGGTGCGTTTCATGC